CATCGAACTTAGACCTTGGTAGTGATCGTGAACGAGGTCCGCTTACTGAGTCAACGGGTCTTAGCAAATTACTGGTTAATGGATCGAGACGGAATTGTTTCTCGGTGTTTTATTAAAAAAAAGTTGTTTATTCTTTGATCACTAAGCTGATTGTTTTGGAGTCGATATAGGTAATCAAAGGAACGAAGTGGAGATAAATGTATCAAATTAGGTCTAATAAATTGTTTTGAATGAATTAGCTATGTGTAATCATGTCCGCGTAGAATTCTAGATAAAGGTTTCCGTTCTCCATGACTCATGGCGTTAAGATTTTAATCAACCGCGTTATATTATTATTAAGACAATAATTGCTATTATGATTTAGATATGTGACAATATGAGAATTTAGATCTATGATCTATAATAGATCAGCAATTATAAAACTTATTAAAATTATATACATTTTTATAATTTTAATAAGTTTTATAAATGAATATTGAATATTATTTATTAAATTTTAGCTCTTATTGTTATAATTATTACAATTTAAAATTAAAGTTAACAAATATTGTAAGGTACTTTGGTGCCATTTTTAATTTTTTTGAATTCATTTAGTTATTTTGTGGGTAGGCTGTCTGTAACAACTATATAATGCCTTTGAGACATCTAAAACCTTAGTCTCTCCCGTGACCATGATTGCTGTAAAGCATTTAAAACGACGGGAGCCAAAAATTAACATAAATCCACGAAAAAATCGAAAAGATAGTTTTATTTAAAGTATTAGTACCTACAGTTTATAATTTAGTACGAAAAATTTAAAATAAAATATAATGTTAAATTAACATTACTTTTGGTTTTTATTTAAAAACAATTCAGAAAACTAACTAACTAATCGTAGTAATGTGTAATATAAATTATCGGTTTTAATATAAAATCTATTTTTATTTATTAATATTTTGATATGTTACTTCAGTATAATATTTGTATTAACGGATTAAAAGTTTTTTTATTATTCTAAATATTTTAATTGCTCATTAACATAATCTTAGCGTTCTACTTCTAATATCATGCATTATGCTATTTGGTATAAAAAATAGTAATACTATTTTTTCTCAAATCATTTCAACAGTTTCGGCGTTTAATTTCAACATACAGATAAAATTAATTATTTTTTTATATTACTATTGTATTGTGTTGCGCTAGCAAAAGTTGTTATTGACGCAGCTTCACAACTCATTATAATATTTATTACCCGGGTCAAGAACTTAAACTTCATTAAATTACCCGGAACTAGCTCAAATTTTTGGAATATACCGACGTGGATTTCCTACTAAATATATACTATAGTAATAGCAAGTCACGAAACAAAGTGATTGAGACCAGATAGACTCGTAAAATTAGACAGCTGAAGGGTTTGTGCATGCACTGTTTACTGTTACTTAAAAAATATAAAGATGTACTGATGAAAATGAAAGACGTGATGATGTATACGCTCAATATTAAAATTTAAACACTTCTTACAATTCAAGAACAATTAGTACGAAGTAGTCAATGATATGGGCTAATTAAGTTATCATATGATTTAAGCTGCTCTAGGCTCATTGGCATTGCGTAAAGGCTTATATCAATATACAGCGGTAGTTCAGTAGTAACGCGCTTGCTTGGGAAACTAAGTGAAGCGGTAGCCGCACCTCCGATATTTTTAAATGCGAACGATTTCCAACATGATTAACACATATCTTTCGGTGAAGGAAAACATCGTAAGGAAACCTGCATGTCTCGACCTAGCAAGTTTTCGAGAAACATGTGAAGTATGACAGTCAGACAGACAGACAGGCCTATGGCCTGATCCTTCTCGTATTGAAGGAAGCCCCGTGCCCAGCAATGGGTTGATAAAAGAGAAAATATTATATCAATCGACGACCGGGGTTTTGTCCAAAAAAAAACCATTGAGTCAATAATCATACACTCATTAAAACTGAACCTTCTCAATTACATCTTATCACTTTAAAAAATTTACTACTTTTTATTACCAATACAAACAGAAAATGAATCTAATCAATAAACTAGTTTATGTAAATTCGTACAAAGTTTAAAACATTAAAAATAAAGGACAAATTATTAGAACGAATGATCATATTACTTTTCTTTACTGTATCTTCTGTTTCAGGAGTTATTGCATGTAATTTTGATTCATTTTTATTATCTTCACTCGTATGTACAAATGTATGTTACTTAAAATGCCCAAAATCTAAAAAGCTATGGATTTTTATCGACTTCTGTCTTATTGATTTTAAAGATATATGTAAAAGTGACTACGATGATAATAGAGTCATTATCATCGACGATGATGATGATGTATCGATGCGTTCACAATCTGGTGCATTGGCAGTGCGTCTTCTTTGTAGCTTCAATGGTGACAAAACATCGAGAATTTCATTTATTAAAAAATAGCTTTTACTCGAACAGGTAGTTTTACCAGTAGTCAAAATAGAATTGCTGGAAATAATACAACGCTGTGGTGTATTCAAGTTTAACGTTCTTGTTTATAATAGTTTCGTTTATAGTATTGCAGTATAATATTTGCATTATATAAATCATCAAAATGCTGCTCTTATTGACTGTTAACTAAAGTAATTCTATATAAATAGATTCAAAGACGTATACCTACAAGATGAATATGATAACAAATATAATATATTTCACTAACACTTGGTGCAATGCCAAACTCCAAATGCATTGAAATGCAGTGTTGGCACACTACATGCTGTACATATAAAATATAGTAGAGTCACCTTATTCTGAACCGATCAAGAACGCTGATCTGTTTTTGCATTATATAAACTTCTCAAAAAATTGTTATAGAAAAATAAGAGTTATGCTAAGCTAACTTATTATCATATTGTCGACATGTTCCATATCAATCTACAATAATTATACTATCTCTATTAAATTTTCGTAGAAAGAAAACGAATTTGCTCGTGAAGTTTAAGCATGTTATTAATCATTAAGAAAAAGGTGTGGTGTACTGTAGGCTATGGTATAATATCCTAGGTTTTTATAGGTTATAGTAGGTTTTTGCAATGTTAGCTGAAATTTGTTTTTTTTTTAATAATACGAAGAGAAGATTAAAAAAGATCAATTTTTTATGGCACTTTTTCTAATGACTGAGGTATTTTTTCGAACTTTTGGTAAGCGTTTCTGAAATACCTATACAGAACAAAGAATGAACATTTTAATTTTGAAACCAGATAAGATGTTCATTTAGTTAAGCCAAAAAATAAAGCAATAATTATTTTGTAAAATTACTTGTAATAATATCATATATTAATAAACATTGCTTATATTATTACACGGACACGACCCTACCTAGAGGTAAAACCATCGCACAAAGAAATCTGCAATACAAAGAAAGCAAAAGAGCTTGTATACTTGACTTGATGAGTATAAGAACTCCCCTGAGCTCTTTAACAAGAAAGAAAGCTTTACTTTCTTTGGAAAAGTAAATTTGAAAAACTAAAATTATAAATTTAGGTAATATTTTTAACACTAGATATTACGATTGACAAGAAAATATAGTTTTTTGCATTTGAAATCTTTTTTGTATATATGTTATAAGATAACTGACTTATTACGACAATTGGTTATATTAAAGAAAAAAGAGAGTTATAACACTCTTTTCTCATATATCAGAAGATAAAATTAGAAATTTCCTTGAGGGAGAGTGCACACCATGTTCTTAGCAAAGTTTTATGAAACAGACGTATTGAAGAAACAAATCATGTTAATGGCAGTTCCTTTATTCTATTACCCGTATTCGCTCTAATCAGAACCTTCGAGGTCGAGGCAGGACGCCGGACAATCTCTCCATTGTATATCACGAGTTATGAGGATATACATACTTTTTGCAATAATAATGCTAACCTTGAGGACTTTTTCGAAAAACCAGTTACATGACGTATAATAATCAGATAAACGCCATTTACGTGTATCTGTGGTTATTTTTTGAAAAATCATGTAAATTAACAGGAAATCCTTTTACTTTTAAAAATTTTATAACACTGTTAAATTTTTATGCAGATAAAACTTGATTGTACCGACGCAAAGTAATGGACAATAATAACTCATTATACTAAATGTATAACAGTTTATACTGTATATACTTTATATCTATTACTTAAGCTACATACAAAATATTTTTATCATATCATTGTGAAAAATAAAATATGGATATTTCAGTTTTGGAAACACGTTACATTGAGTTTTAATTTATTCTAATTAGTAACCTTATTTTATCTCGTAATTAAACAGAGAACAAAGTTGAAAGCTATCGTATTATCATATTTCAATATCTTTCATGTTCAGATATCCTTTTTTCACCGATTTTTTATCCAAGCAACTATTAAATACGTAATTTTTTTAATATTATTTAAAAACAGAATAATTTAGAAAATTTGTAGTTCTATTGGCAACAAGTTGAATAGGCTAAAATACAGTGCGAAGTAAAAATGTAGATTTTCCAAAATGAAGTTCTTTATGACATATTTCAGAAGAAGACCAAAATAGGAGTCTACGTAATTAATTTCGTAGACCTTTCGTAGAACAAAAAAATGTTATAAGCAATAAAATATTATTTAAAATATTTTTAGTTTATTTTATTTCACTTTATATACATAATTATATTGTTAGTCAATATAAAACATTAATATTCATTTAACACATATTAGTTTACTTTATATACATGTAGCTACTACTATCTTATTGTAAATGTAAATACGAATATCATGTTGCATCAAACATATGTGTAATATTCTAAACAATTTATAATTACATAATACGTTTAATTATAATTGTTATATAGAGATTGATTATTTAATTTTATTCGTGTAATAAAAATGCTAATGATTATAGTTTTTTAGTTTTGTTTTTGAATTAATATGAATAAATATTTTTTTTATTCTTTCTTTAAGTCTTATTTATCCATGTAAATAATTAATAAAAATAATAATATAATAAGTTACCGTATATTTATCAATCCTGGTTTTTTCATGTTCGAAATGTCCCTTCTCTTTAATATTCACAATGCTTGTGGCACTTGAAACCGCCATTTTGGAAATATTTATTGTCACTTTTCGCGCGAAAACGATCTCAGCTCTCGTTGCACCCTCACAGGATCGCGGCGAGATTCCAAGTCGGAATGGTTGCGAAACTGCGCTTCTTTTATATAAAACTGTAAACTGAACGCCTCCTGTCCCTTTCATATTTGCGCGCACTGGCTGTATGTTGAGCGCTTGCAGCCAGTAAAACACAGATTGTAAATAGGTCAGGTCTAGAACTTTTTTCCATATTTTTTTAAATTAAATGGTTGAGGATTTTTTATACAATGAAATGTGTATTTATCATTCTTGAAAATTAATATGTCCTTTTTACGGGATGTATGGAAAAATATATTTTTCACCTTTCGAAATAAATGAACTAAATTGAAAATTATAAAATTTAGGTATTAACTGTATTATGCTTATTTTATTTTTTATTTTCAGGTTTCATTGTTGCAACACTCCATTTTAATATATTTTATGTTATGTTATAAAATAGAATTATATATTACTTACTAATAAATTATATATTTTAATCTTTTTTTTATTGAGCTTTTTACAACATTAAACATTATTTACAATACTTTTTTAAACATAATGATCATTGTTATACATCTCATTTGCCCATAAACAAAATATAACATGCAAATTTCTGTTAATTTATATAGCTTTACCAAATTTATTTATTTTTTAAATTTAAAAGCGAATAGAGGAGTGGTTTTTTCCTCGAATATCTATACTAATATTATGAAGAGAAAAAAAATGTATTTTTGTTTGTAATAAATAAACTTAAAGTCCGCTGAATCAATTTAGATGAAGATAGTTTAAGACCCTATATCCTTTACATATGATAATTTTTATCCAGAAATCATCCCTTAAGGGGGCGGAACACGGATGAAAATTTGTGTGGATAATCGAATCGTTTCTCAAGGGATATAAAACTTCTTATAAATATCCCCCTAAACAAACTTTCATCCCCATTTTCACCCCATTAAGGGATGATTTTCGTGAAAAAAAATCTATGTCCTTTCTAGGGTCTCAAACTATGTTCTTACCAAATTTCGTCTAAATCGGTTCAGTAGATCCAGAGATAGAGTACCCCCTACAATGTTACAAACTCACAAACTCTTTATAATATTAGTAACGATTATGTCAAAAATCTAACGTAAAAATCATTATATTTACAGAAAGCATAACACTAAGATCTCGGAATTTTAATCTAATCCTATCCGATGTAATCCAATCAATATTTTCAATTTCTATCCTTAGGGTTCTGTAACCTTCAAATGGATAGTCCAGTTGGGACCCTATAACTGAATCTCTATCCGCCCATCTATTTTATTTCTTTAAAGGTAAGGGAATGTGCTGTAAATCTTTAGAACGGAAATAGTTAGCTATCAAAAATTAATTAAAGTATAATATATTATATTTATGTTATAACAATAATTTTTCTAACAAAGATATATAAGATACTAGCATTGCCCGCGGCTCCGCCCGCGTTCAGATGACCAAAAACTACATTCTTAGGTTTTACGTATTAGTATACTCTTACATCGCAGTTTTTGTATTTTTTCTTAAAAATGAGACATTTTCCCGCCGTAAAAAGTATCCTATAAGTTGACCCGGATAACCAGCTATCACCATACCAAATTTCATCAAAATTCCTACATTGGTTTTTCTGTGATGCGGTAACAGACAGACAGACGAACAGACGGACGGATGGACGGACGGACAGACAGACGGACAGACAAACAAAAATTCTAAAAACTATAGATTCGGCCTCTGTATCGATAATAATGTTTATTTCAATAAGATTTTCCAAAAAATATGTAATGTACAGATTCGGCTTAGTTACAAATTTATTATATGTATAGATTAATTGGCCCTCATGCTGGGATGTTAATGGACACTGGACTCTACATTGAGCATTTGGCTCGAAGTAGCGTTTGCTGATGGTGGAAGACGTATTCTGGATTGTATTGAGCGACACTGCGAGCGACACAACATGGTAAATATTTGAAAGCAATGCATGCATTTTAACAAAATTGCTTACACATCTTAAATACACGCATACGTATATTTTTATCCATTTTCACGCATTCTGTTAGCATTTCCTTTCCTTCTTCTTAAAAATGTCATCAGATTTTACGAAAAAAATACGATTCATATATCTCAGAATGTTTCAAAATTTCGGTGCTGGCAACGCACAGCGTTAGTGATCCTGAGTAGACCCTAATAAATATTCGTTGGTTGTGTATAGCATTATGGTAGATACGGCGTACGACATTTTTTCCAGACCATAGATGGGCAATCGAGCCGTTAGTAGATTCCTCACGGTACATACTGATATTTAATTTAAATTTTGAAAATGTAAAAGTGACGATTCAAAAGTGCTTGTAAAAATCTATTTGAATAAAGTATATTTTGATTTCATTTAATTTGGATCGACAGCCGACTATTGTACAACTTTCGTCGAAATTCATAGCGGATTTCCGCGGGTTGTACCCCTAACGGAAATCCGCTATCGTATATTATGTAACGTTTACTTATTTTTATAGTACTTGAATATAAAAATTATAAAGTATTAATCGTAAGAGAATGATCTAAATTGTCGTTCGTTCCTCGTCAGATATATATAATAATAATCTGAATCTCGGAAACGGCTCCAATGATTTTCATGAAATTTAGTATATACGGGGTTTCGGGGGCTATGTATAGGGGATCTAGATTAGTCTTATGTGTAGGAAAACGCGTGTTTTCGAATTTTCATGCGGTTTTCTTTTGCATTATTCCGCGCAAAATATTATGTTCGATAATTTCGCACCCTCTTATATCCATAAGCATCATGGTCAAGCGGCCAAGGCGCAAGATTGAATAAGTGTCCGGGTTCATATCCCGGTCGGATACAAAGTTATAATTTTTTTTTATTTTTTTTTTGTATTTATTCAAGTTTTTAGTTGTTTTTTTTTTAAAGAAAATTATACTTTTACAACCAAAAACGCCGAGCGAAGCTCGGTGGCCCAGGTACTAGTCATAATTAATATAAAGGTCATATTTGTATGCTGTTATGCAGCAATTGCATTTATTTCGTCTATTTCTAGCTCGATGACCTTTAGGCTATAAAAAATTTGTTTATGATTATGATTTTATGTAAATTATTTATGTAGTATATTTCAATCGATGAATTGATATAGAAGTATTTATATTTAAAAGAAATTCATTATACACTTAAAACAAAATTAGAAGGTCAGATCTGTGTATTAAAAACATGTTAATGTTAACGATCATTTACTAATCTAAAAAGTTTTGACAGACTACTATTTAATTTTTCTAAAGTATTGGAATATATTATACTTGCATTTTTTATATACAATTTTCATTAATTCAGTTTTGCAATCCAGCTTTGCGAAAAACCAAGAGATACACATAGAGTGCGGATTATCTCGGTGGGCGTTGAGCTCATTTCTCAATGTTGTTTACTCCTGGCACTTCACGTGTGTGTAGTGCATTAGAACAACCCTCTCAGTTTCAAACTCGGACGAACCCAGGGAAAGCAGGTTTTACTACTTCAGGACTTATCGAAGTTGAATGTTAATAAACGGAAAGTTCTTTGTCAGAAGTTTTTTGGATAATGAATCCATAGGTAAAATATCATTTTCTAGATGATAATAAGAACAGCACATACACGTAGGCAGGCACAAATAAATAAAATGTTACATAAAAGTAGAGTATCGTCGTTAAATTCATAGTTACAATTTTTAATAGTATACATTTATGAACAATTTTTCATAGCACAGTTACATGTTCGTTTGTTTACTGATGAAAAATTATCGTAAATTATTTTAAGAGTTAGTTATTAATACGATATGCATCAGATATTATGCAGCAGAGCTTTTTAGTCAAAAGACTCGGATTAAATTTCCAAGCGATACACACTTGCTTGTACATATATTATTTCAAAACATTTATTATTTATTTCTTAAATAAAGATTTCCCATTATGTTGCTAGAAGGTACATTAAGCTCTCTATAAAATATGTTATATATAATAAAGATGTAATATCTATATTTTTAGTAAGTACATATAGATACGTATGTACGTATGTAAAGTAAGTACGTATAGAGTATTTTTATAACTATTTTTTACATGTGGAAATCGAACCTGCTACATTTTGTGTTGTGGGCAATGCCTTTCATATATATAAAAGTTATATCACAGTGCGCTGTAATAAAACAATATTAAAAGTCAAGAACAAAAGCTGCCTACTACCTGCTATATTATAATTTCAGCTTTTAATTTTTGCATAATATGTGATATTATGTTTATAAAAATGTGTATTATATAATCATATTTATTATATTACTAATTACCTTACGTAATTTATATTCTTTTTAAATACGGACGCATATAATGTCTGTTACAGACAAGGTCATGTAGCAAAAGCAATAAATGCTCCAGTAGTTTCATATTCTCGAAGTTTGTCAACTTTTTAAACAATTTAAAAATATATATGCGCACAGGTATTTACTATTATTAAAATTTGATAAAATACGGTAATCATAAAAAAATAAGAGATGATTTTATGAGTATTTTTATTTTTGAAAATCTGTCAGGTATCAAGCATAAAGATGGTCATATTCGAGATTTTTCTATTGCATGTAAACAATTTGAACAATATAAAAAAAATACAGACAGATAATTTATCTTATTTATTACTAGCGTCACACCCTCGCTTCACTCAGGTTTGTCCCTAGGTACCTATATTTTACCGGTTAGTATGTAATAGATAGACTATACTATATTAGTATATTATATACACAAAGGTATGATGAGTTTTGTATCCCTTACTTTAAATTATTGATTCTCCATAGAAATTTTCATTTCCCTTTTCACACCCTTGGAGGATGATTTCCGGGATAAAAACTATCCTATGTCATTTCCAGGGTATCAAACTATTTTCATACCAAATTTCATCTAAATCGGTTACAAATGTCACAATGTAAAAATTTTAC